AAGGCATAATGCGATCTGTGGAGGTTGAAAAAATATATAAAGTAACTATTAATGTAACTATTAAATTAGTTACTAGTTATCGAAAAAATGTAACTGAGTTAAGTTACAGTTACAGATGTAGAGAAAGTAACGAAGTTAAGTTAAAACACACTATTAATTAAAAAAAACCAATCCACATATGATATTAATTGCTTTTCTCTGATTTTAGTGCTCGAGGTTGTAACAGAACAAAGAGGTGGAGATTTAGAAAATTTGCACACAGTCTGTTATGATAAATACAAAAAGTTTGAACGGCCCAGTAACGAAAATGGTAAATATGCTGTTATTAGATCAGGCATTCAGTATCTCTTTTGTGTACGATGTAAAATTAATGTCATTCGAAAAGCATAAAGATGCATATAAAGCAAGACAGTTTGTATAAAAATAAATTTTTCAGTCATTGATAATTTTTAATAATTGACGAATCTTTTATAGAATCTACTAATTACAAGCAAGAATGTGAAACAGATGCTACGTTCGAAATATCAAAAAAATCGACATGGCAAGAGCAAAAGATTTTATTTTTAAGAGCCCTAATCTGTATCAAGCGAGATCCTGTGAGTAGAAATTAATGAAAATATTCAAACGATTCGCTTGAAAAATCAAAATACTATCGTTTCGATTGATATTTCAGCAATTGACAAAATTAAGATTAAGTGCACACGCTATTAACGGGGTGTTATTAGGAGCAGTTTTCTATAATTTCGGCAACGATGCGGAAAAAGTGTTTGGCAATATTGCTTGTTTCTTTTTCTTTATGTTATTTTTATTCTTCGCAAATGCCATGCCAACAGTGCAAATGTGTAAGTGTTATAATATTTCATACTTTTACATATTCTTTTACGTATAAACGTAATGTATAATTTATGTGTTTTTGTTAGCAAATAACTACTCAGACAACCTTGTTAAAGTAAATTGTGTCAAATACTTACTAAAAAGTTTTAAAGTAAAAAGGCATCAATTTTGATACAAACTGTGTTATATCTGTTGGAGACAAATTGTCAGCAGAAATATAAAATCTGCTGTCATCAAAAACTGCATTGCGCAAACCTCACTCGGCTTTTTTGTGCCAATTTAATTGTAATTACATAATGTCCATAAACTTTTCCATTAAAACACGAGTTGATTGCAGATACAGATGCTATATTATTAGTACCAAGTTTGGAGCGAATTTAATGCCAATTTAATGTCAATTTGATGACAATTTGCTTATTGGGAAAATTATATATAGTACGATCTCTTTAATAATACTGACAGACTAAAAAAAGTAAAAGCAATTTCTTTAAGAATATTCTCAAGTTTGCGTGTTTATGATAAATGCATCTTATAAATTTCACAAATAATTATAGCATGTTAATCTGGTTGTAGTTCCTACAGAAGCGTCGGTATTCCTACAGGAACATTTAAATAACTGGTATTCTATGAGATCTTATTATAGTGTAAAAATACTTGCGGATCTACCGTTGCAGGTATGTTTCAATGCGTGTTATTGTTTGTTACGAATTATTTCCTTCACACATAAAATTCTAAATTTCAAATTAATGTATTGTCATCGGTTTTAAAATTAAATTAATTAAAGATTTATTCACTTTCTAGATATTGTGTACCTCATCCTTCCTATTTACAGCATATTATATGACGGGGCAGCCAATGGAATATGTTAGAATTCTACAGATGTGGAGCGTGTGTCTGTTAATTACAATTCTTGGACAAGCGATCGGAGTATTCGTAAGCGTAATTGTTGGCAGTGAGGTACTTCAAAGGCGTATTTTTTATTATTTTAATTAATATGCAATTATAAAAGTTAAAAAGTCAATAAATTAACGTTACATATTACAACAGTATATCGGAACAAATCACAGCTATAAGTATTTATATTATTTATAATAGTTAATTTTCCAATGTATTATATGTGTATATTGTGTGTGATCAACTTATACCATTCAAATTTGAATTTGATATTTTATACTAGTTATTCAATATGAGAAATAATGTAGACTAAATATAATTTTAGTTAGGTTTGTTTCTGATACCGGCAAGCAGTATACCATTGCTGCTCTTCGCCGGATATTTCGTGAAATTAAAGGACTTAGCGGCATGCTTACAGCCTTTAACCTTTATAAGCTTCTTCAGGTACAGACAATTTGTATACCACACAGTGATAAAAAATTACTG